ATTTGACTTGACAAGTTTCTGGAAAGTGGTGGCATCTTATGCCGCTCGGTGTTAATATGATGAGCATTCTTTTGCCCCCATTCCAAGCTGAGGTGAAGGCAAATTGCATTCCCGTGGGATGTTTGCACGGAATCAATACAATATTGGGATCGAGTCGGAAAAGTAATTGCAAATGTTTGCAAAATTGCTATTTGATGACGGAAGTGCAATGCATTTCCCGTCTGCGCAGTCTGCATTTTCAGTTGCCTGATATATATGTATGTTTGGTTGGTAATGGAATGGGGTGACTCTCACCTTTATTGGACAGGTGTGGGTAAAAATGGAGGAACGGAGGTGTGGGGGAAGCAACAGTTGGCTTTAGATAAAATATATCTATATGCCTAGCAGGTTACTCTGCTTCACATCTTTTTAAGGTCTTGTTAATGGACATACAAAATTCAGAAAGTATTAAAAAGAGTTTAGAAGATCTGGTGATATTTACAATGGACTCTTTCAAGAACTATAATATATGATACTTATGAAATTTAAAAAAAGCCCAAAGGCACATAGAATTTTAATAGTATTTGATACTTAAGAGAGGTTTAAAAACATTTAATATTGTTTAATCTTTGTACATATATTATAATATATTTAATAATGCAGAAACAAGCAAAATCATATATTTCAATATATTTGAATACTACTTAAAAAATTTGTACATTTAAAAAAAGTACAATGGTTAGTACGAACAATGGTATGTTGCCTAAATTAAATAGATCAAGAATTTTAAAACTGTGCTTCTGTTATTCCTCCTTTAATCAGATTATATTCAAAAGGTTTTATGTTCGATTGCCGACGGCGCTTTCTTACTTTCAGAAGGTGTCGCCTTGCAAATAAAATTTACTTAAATTGCCATAATTGCCAGAAATATTTTTGTATATCCTTGATAATTTCCAGAGGCGACGGAAGCTGGAATGAAAGCCCTGAGGTAAGCCAGTTGCTATATGTACACATTTGCGCAATATGCGAAATGTGAGTATATATTTAAGCGCATATTTATTTACCTGAATGGATGACCAGCGATTACAAGAATCCCAGTTGGAGGGCCAGACCGAACCGATGCATTTGCGTTTGCAGCTGCAAGTGCAACATTTCACTGTCACTTATGCATGTCCGCTTGTCATTTAAGCACAGCTTGACTCGGGACCAGATATATATGGCGAATGTATGTGATCACTGTGTATATATATATATCACCGTTCGGATATATGTTGTTTTATTAACGACTGGCAGAAGGCAGAAGACTGAAGTTCCTTCCCGTCTGCTGATGGGTCCAGTGAATTAAATTGTAAAGATTTCTCTCGCATTCAATGAGCCATTTTTGCAAGTGGGACGGCTTCCCTTTTGATTTTTTGATGTACCTCAGCCTTGGCCCCTTTCAGTGTACCCATTTAAATTAATTCCCCAGCAGATTACTGGTGTAATGGCAGACTTAATGTACACAGCAAATTAACGATGTGCCAAGACAATGGAATATGTTGCGAGTCACTTTGCAATCCTGCGAATGCAATAAGTGCGAATTCATGTGAGGCATTGCTTAAATTCCAACGTTGCAATTAACCCTTTCGTGGCGAAATTAAAGTGGCTGCCTCGAAAGTGTTTGTAAACCATTTATGTAATGACATCATTTTTATTAAGAAGTAAATTGCTTGTATTATTATTACTAATCAAGGAGCAAAATATTATATTTCATCAAAAATTTCCGACTAAAATTCAGATTGCTTCGAAATATGTAGTGCTTACGAAGTTATATGCCAATTATTATAAAATGTACAGTCCTAACGGGTTAATTGGCTTCTTTCCCAAACTATTCAAGTTCGTTTCACTATTTAACTAATTAGATTTGAGTCTTTGTAATTTTCTGGAAGGGGCTTGATAAGCATTTATTACTCGTACCCTAAGCCAAGCAGGAAAATTGAAGATTATTTAAATGCTCAACAAGTAAAAATTCGGGTTGGAATTTTCCCCCGATCCCAGCTGCTCCGACTTGTTAAGCTCCGGTCAGCCGGGGTAAATAAATCTCACGGATTCACCTCTGCCATTTGGCAGATATGAACGTCGATGCGCTGGTAAAGCTTTCATTAAACTGACAACGCTGGGAGAAACAAAGCGCGAAACTTGGTTGGCATTGCGTAATTGACTTGCTGCTGGACCCCAGAACCCAGAACCCAGAACCTCGATCCAACAGGGAATGGCTGATGGGAGTGCTAAAAGTTACGTCCTTGTCATAGTTTTATTTGTGTGCGCCCCTCAAGTCGAAAGATGCCTTCAACTTGTGGCTTCTGTGCGTTTCCTCCTTGACTTTTTATACCCTTGCAAGGGTATTTCATCTCAATCAGTGTGTTTCGTAAATTGTATTAAACATTTATAACAGTTTAAAATGCCGGAAAATCTCATTGCTTTTTATTATAGTATATATAAGTTTATATATTGAATTACTAAAGCATTTCTTAAAAAAGCTTATTTGTTGCAATAGTTAAAAATTGAAACCAATATGTTTTTGTTTATATTTGTTAATTTTCTTTCAGAATTATTTTTTTTAAATGTCCCAGAGACTAAGTTTGTTTGATTATATTCAATTTTGAGGATTATTCTGGTGAGATTGATGCTCCGAATTTATATATAGGGTCAACTTTCCTATGTCCAGACTATAAATTATATTCCTCTATTATTAAATTACTGTAGCCTTAACTATGCATGAGCCTTTCAGAGTATTATGTTCTGACCGTAACAAACTTGTTCCTATTATTTTAAATTTTGACTTTCTGTCGCTCTTAAAACGATTAATACGTATCTATTAGCACAAAATTGGATCTTATTTTTGTCCGTACTATATGCTGTCATTTCTGAAATAATTTTTAATATAAATATATTAAAACGTTAACTGACATGCAAATACAAATTTAGACACTGAATCATTACATGCTCAAGCCTGCAAGGGTATTCAAAATTCTAGTCCGCACAGTAAACCCTCGTCCACTTTTTTTTATCTATTTCGTGGACGTTTTTTTCGGCGCTTACTTACGATAACTTTATGACGCTTATCGCTACAAATGTGCTTGTATCTGGGCGCTGGCTGCGTATCTCTGTATCTGTATCTTTATTTCGCCAGCGAGTACATTCCGAGCGCGCCACATAAAAGTAAAGTGTAGCCAAGTTGATGCTGTCGGGTGGGGCTGAAGTTTCGGGGAGCAGGAAACCAGCTTTACTCCTAAGTAACTTATGCCATAATTTCACCCGCTCCCACAGCCCCACTGAAGCCCAAAAACAACGCTGGCCACACTGGCGGAGCATCGTAATCGCAAAAAGGAGTCGTCTGGCAAATATTATTTTTTATATTTATTCGACTTTTTTCGCCTTTGCTGCTTAATGTTTATTATGAATGTTACTCGTGAGCGTATTTAGTTAATTTTATTTCACACAAGAGAAGTCAGAAAAAGGCGACCGACTCCGGCGGAATGTTTGCCAGTCTTTTCTTTTTTTTCTTTTTGCCTTCGAGTCGAGTCGAGTCCCGGCTGAAAATTAAGTTAACACCATCAAGGCATCGCCAGTGTCTCAGTTGGGTCTATGAGTGTGTATATGCGGCTGGGCAAATTAGAAGCCAGTAAACATGGCGAAAAAGGCAGCCGCTTATCTGCGTTAAGTAGATGAGAAAAGTTTGTGGCTCGGCGCGTTGATAAGTTGAATTACAGGCGCACATATTTCTTTCATGGGAGACCCGACGACCCCTGCTCCCCATACTTCGGTACTCCCCCTCCATTAAATACCCACTCCCTGAAAACGTCTCCCAATTGGTGGATAGACACACATTACCTCAGGCGAACCGGGCACATGCATTAATTTGTTTATACTCGCTGAGCTTTGGCTTTGTTAACAAGACGAACTTCTAAGCACAGCTCAATCTGCTTTTATGCACCCCCTCTTACACTGAAAAACATTGATTTTTATTTAGAAATTTCGTTCTTTTCAATATTGCTATAAGGTTAAATATTAATTCAAAATTACATTAATTAATCTTCCGTGCTATATATTTAAAATTCTTTAATAACTAAATTGTCTCCAGAACATTTTTAAAACTATTAGGAAAAACGAAATTTTGAAAGAGCTGAAACTTAACATCAAATATATCGTGGCTATTTCATGATGCACTCGGTTTGCTACTTTAAAGTAGCATTTCTTACCGTCTGAACAGTTTAAAACAAAAACAGGTATAATTTCAAATCAAAAATAACAGCTTGAGACTTTCAATTTAATTGTCAAATGATTACTGTCTTAAAAAAAGTGTATATTTTTAATAACCTTTAAAATAAACTTGAAATATAAAAAAACAGTCAGGGACTTATACAATATTATTTTGAACAAGTTTCCGAGTGACTTTTATTTGTAAGCGTTAGAAAAACTTTTTTTTTGTAATTTATCGATAAATACCACATGGTAAATAATATATTTAATTGTACCCTTGTGTTTTATAAAAGTACGTGGATAACATTTTATTGCATGAAACAATAGTGTTGCTTACAACAAATGTTATAAAAGTTAGAGTCATTTTTATTTTCTGTCCGTTGCAAAAAGTATAATAAAGTATTTCTTTGAGTGCATATTCTTTATTTTATGGCTCAGTAGCTCAGTGCCTGTGGCATTGGGTGCGGGGGCAGGAAGTAGTAGCAGGAGGAGTAGCTGAGGGAGCGGCATTAAATTGGCGACACTGTTGCCCAAATCTGCGCTGCTTAAATGCAAACTGCTCAACTTTGTTGCACTTCCAGTGCACTCAGAATGACCTTCAGATGAGGTGTGGCCCCCGGAATTGTGGGCGTGGCCCCAGGCAAACACGTCGCCAGCGACTTAATTAGATCTCAGTTTATGCCAGCGCGGCACTTTATAGCAAAGGTTTAAAGTGACCATTAGGTCGAACGACATTCCAAGCCCTCGAGATTGACCCGGCGGCAAGATGGGGACTCGGATTCAGGCTAAGTGTGTTTCCTTTAATGCTTCGAAAATATACTCAGAGTACAATGTTATGCAATTATTGGTAGTGGAAACCGATAGAAATCAGGGAGTTTTGTTCTTCTGCAGGTAGAAAAAGCGGTTGCCAGGCCCAGGCAGAAAGACAGACTCCCGGAACTGCTCCAGATCGAATTGATTCGGTTCGTAGACAAAGGGCGGGGGCTTTGCCATCGAGGGGCGGGGCGTCTCCTTGGCGATCACCGAGGTCTTCACTTCGGGCTCAGCCGGCTGGTTCCATCGGGCCAGGAGGGCCCAGATGTCCCGCTCCTCCTCCACCACCTTCTTCTCCTCGACCACCTCGGCAATGCTCTCCTCGCTGGAGCTGGAGAACTTCGGTCGCACCATCTGGCACTCCCTGCGTCTCGTGAAGTCCTCCTCGATCCGCTGGACAATCGGATGACGGCGCTCCTTGATGACCGCACACAGATTCTCGCCATGATGCATGTTCTCTTCCACGTAGTTGTTACGACGAATTATCATGTCCACCTCGAACTCCTGATCGTTGCCCATATCACAGTCCCGGAAGTCCGCGTACAAGACCTTGAGATGGAGCGGTTGGATTATTAAAATATTTTTAACTTTGAGAAACCATCTCCTAAAATAAAAAAGTTATAGGCACGAATTTTAAACTATTGAGTATGACATATGTGCTTATAACACGCGCGACAACTTATTACTTTCAATTGTTCCAAAATCAAAACTCATTGACTTAATTTAATTTAATTTAATAAATAATGATTAATTATTAAAAATGATTATTTATTTTGTACTATTATTTTTTGTCGTAAAAGTCTTTTCTGCAAATTTTCTCAACGGATAATAATAACTCATATAGTTATTTTTTATCTTGATTAGGCATTAATTATTTCTATGAAATACAAAAATGTTTTTCTCTGATATATAACATTTCCTGTCATAATGTATTTTTTCATTGGTATTTTTTCGGGTCATTAAATTATTCTTCACGAATTTCAATAATTTTTAATTAGAGAACTTAATCGAACTTTCATTTAATATTTATGCTGGTGAATTTTGAACTAAGCAGGGTATTTTAATTGTTGAATTTATGGCTACTTTTCAATTGATGGTAAAAGGTAATTTATCTCTACATTTTTATTGATGAATGGTTTTGTCTGTGATGTTTTATTGGGTATGTTAAATGCAATCATTTGTGAATTAGTTGTTTATTCTTCTTAGTGAAAAAATTTAGTTGTAGTTTGGACACTTACCCTGAAATTCTTCTCCAGAGACCTTAGTATTTGAACTCCTTGGGAGGTACCGATGTTAATGGCGGCCATCTCGAGGCTGACCAGCGGTGTGTGGCTGCGGAGCAAGGTGCCAATATCCCGAGCAAAGGCGCCCTGGGTGCTGTCGATCCCCGAGATGTTGAAAGACATCACATGCGGGGTGCCGATGAAGCCCGAGATGAGGGAGTGGATGGCCAATTCGTTCAACGGGTTGTGGGCCAGTCCCAGGTACTCCAACACCCCCTCCTGGGATTCGCTGAGGGCCTCGCCCAGGACCACCGCAGAGTTGGTGCCCAGACGATTGTACTCCAGCTGGATTATGCGGTACATCCTCGGCCGCTTCAGCAAGTAGGACAGCCCTTCGCTGCACTCATCCGTCATTTGGTCGTAACCGAAGTCCACCTCTTCCAGCGAATCAATGGTTCCCAGAGCGCGGGCCAAAATACGAAACTTCTTGAGATCCATCCGCCCGTTTCGCAGCTTGAAAGTCTTCAGGTTCGGCAAACAGCGTAGCCCTCTGCTCAGACGCACCATATCGCCGGCTGAAAACTTCATAACGCGGCTGTGAGATAGAAGAAAAAATATTAAAACAATATTTTATTAATTTAAAGTATACCTTGCGGTATATGTTTTAGAGTGGGTCTCTTTTTAGTGACCCAAAAAAACGTCCAAATATATATATGTAGCTGAATAAATTTGGTAGAGTGTAATGGAATAGAAAACTCGATATTTAAATGGAATATTTTATGTTGTTAAGCCCGATTTTAAACCATAATTCATTTGTAAATATTGCTTACAACTGTCAAAAGAATGCATTTCTCAAGATGATCCTTCAGTTCGAAATTATAATATGTAGATATGAACTAAACAATACCATTTCCCATATAATATCTGACAAAAATTAACTTTTTTTAAGTGCTATAGTTTGTACCCAGATCATTTAATTTCAGCTACCTCACCGTCTACAATCGATTCAAAAGTTGGTATGTTCCATTCTTAACAAGTTCTTAATACATTTCGGGTGCAATACTTACCTGTGATAGTCTGACACATGCGGAGGTCCCAAAAACTCCAACGTGAAGGACACCATGTTGCCGAAATAGCGAACAAATCCCAGATCGATGTGATGGCAATGGGCATCTGGGTAGTCGTAGCGCTTGATCCGCTCCAGCATCAGCTGCTTGTTGCGCTTGTCCGGCTTTGTGTCCTCGTCATCCTCGTTTTCAGGCGGAACGTTGATATTGAACACGTCCTGTATGGGCGGCTCCTTCTTCTTCTTCTTTTTCTTCTTGGCGGACGGGTCCGGATGACTTAGTGCGTCCCGCTTTTCCTGGCGCCTTATCTTGCGCTCCTCGTGCTGCTCCCGCTTCTTGGCAATGGAGTCCCGCGCCAGCTGGCGGTTGGCATTGCGCTGACGTCGGGCATTTCGGCGGGCAGTGTCCTCGTCCTCGCTTTCCACGCGAAAGAATTGGATGGCGGCCTCGCTACTTGAACTCGACTCCTCCTCCTCGCCCTCGCCGTCGATGCCCAGATCGGTGTCGGGCTCATCGCTGGAGACCTCCTCTTCGTCCGAGGAGTCGGAGGTTACATCGTCCTCGGGGTCGCTCTCGATGTACCTGAGGAAGGCGTAGTCGGGCAGCGGCTGCAGCTTGCGCACGTGCATGGAGTTGACGCACTCCCAAACCTTTTCTGCCAACTGCGCCAGCCTCTTTTCCGGCTTCACGTTTACCGGGCAGGTCTCGACCTGCTCCACGAACTTCCGGCTCACGCCCTCCGACTTCCAGTCGAACTCGTTCCAGCGCTTCAGGTGCAGCGTCTTGTCCAGAGTCTTGCTGAGCACCACGCGGCGCCAGAAGCGCTGGTCCTCGATTAAATAGCATTCACTTGGGGCAAAATATAAATGGTTTAACCCTTTAATGCAATTATTGACAATGTTATTTAATAACTAATTAAAACTAGTTAGCCATAAAAAAAAGAATGCTCAACTAAAGTTTTTGGCGCCCTAGGGTGGACGGATAAAGATTTAGAAATTAAAATTTTAGGAAAACGCTTCTGAACAAGATGTTGTTGGCTCTTGTTTTGGCAAAATTTTACGAAATTAAATACAGTTCGATTTTAGAAAAGTTCTTAGGGTCGTAACTAAAATGAATTCAAAGGTCTTACCTTAAGGGCAACTCCACATCCAAGGCGTCGTAAAAGACCCTCATCAGCTCCGGACTCGCCAGCAAAGTAGGCGATATACCCCGGATACCCAGCGTGGCCAGACTCTTAACGCACAGATTTTCCAAGGTGTCCAGCTTGCCCTCGATAAAGGCCTCGGCAAAAACCTCGCGGTTCCGTTCGCTGTATAGATTCAATGTCTGTGGCGAGGGCTTGAAGAGCTCGTATTCAGCTAACAGGATAGGATCACTGGGCGCCCGGAATTTCTGTGCGTAGTGCGGCTGCACAGCCTCCTCTTCATCCTCAAAGTCCATATTGACGAGCTGTTTTTAAGTAATTCCTTGTCTATTGTTTATAGCACTAAAGTCTTGTTTTGAAGTTTATTTCTGGAATGGTGAGCCAGATTGTTTTAAATTCCGTCGGCTACTAAAAAATATACATAATCATCGATATCCAGCAAATCTACAAAAATAAAAGCACATTCAATTATTTTCCAAAAACAAACAATTAATCAGGAAAGATTTTTGGTACTATAGTAAAACTTACTGCCCCTTTTATAGTCAACTCCATATAAGAAACTTTTTGTTCGGTATTGAAGGAGCTGTATATGATTAATGCCTTATAATATTAAAGTAACACAAAATCTAATATTTTGAACTTTTCACAAACCATTTTTGCTTCTGTGTAAAAGTCCCATACCAACTTATTCCGCATAACCTAGAGGTTCCGACATAATATAAGCCCTTGGCCTGAGCCACTTACCATGTCGTTGGAATATACCGTCAAAGTTAAAATCCCAGATTTAACACCTCTTCAAAAATTATATCTTTAAACGCCTCTGAAAAATTTCAATTCTATGGAAACAGTTTAAGTTTGCCTTGGATTCTACAGTTTTTTTAAATTGGAGAAAAAATACTGGTAGATAACGATATAAGAAATCCAATTTAATACCCTTATGAATATTCTTTAAAATAATAAAAACCTCTGTATGAATATTCTTTGAAAAAATTAAAAGCTCTGTATGTAAGGGTATTTAATTGGATTTCTTATATCGTTGTCTACCAGTATTTTTTTTCCAAATTAAAAAAAGTCATGGAAACCTATAGCATGTCTTGAAAACCTGTGTTTTGAGTCGTATTACCTAGCCATACCATAAGCACCCAAGTGTCTTGAAAAATTTCAAATGCTTCCTGGAATATTCTGGCAGATTACCAGTGTATCGTGCGTAACGAGTGTTTACGACAGCTAATTGGAGAAAATTCGCCTCGGATATTTTCCACTTAAGGCGCACTTTAAGCGTTTGCTAATATTTGCTGCTAATGTCTCACAAGCACTTGCCCAGCACTCGAAGCAAATTTAAATTAAGCTAACCTAATTGAGAAGCGGAGAACAGTTTCTTTTTGTGGCCAGAACCGCTTCGCCCGCCCCGCTGCCACAGTGCTCAGCGCTTTGTTTTGATGGGAGCTGCCAGGGGCTTCACCTTGCCGGCTATTTTTCTACCTAATGAAATAAAAATAGATGTTGTTAGAGCTGCTCGCTGAGTGTGCTTGTCTTGGCCAGGTGCTTTTGTGCTCGGATCGGTGATGGCCCCGAGTCTGGAAAGAGGTTTCTATGGTACATGTATATGCAGATGCTCTTACCCCTGCAACAAAGAAGGTGCACAGTGGGAAAACATAAGACTATCAGACTCTGATTAAATCATCAGTAAAATTAGTTAGTTATTTTTTTTAACTATGTTTTTAACTATATTTTGAATTTAAATATGAAATGGTCTGCGTTGACAAAGATTAACAAAGATGGTTTTTAATTGGATTGGCCTTCAGGGTTAAAAACATTTTTTTAAGAAAAGGTCAAGTTGGATTTAAAGCGCTGTCGTCCTTAATAATATTTTTCATTCAATAGTATGTAACAAAATGTCACTTGGTATATAATGAGATTTAAACACATTCAACCAACATTTGGACCATTGAAAGAAAGCTCAGAAATTTATTATATATAGAGTTATTATGTTGTCTAGATGGCTTATATTGTTTGTGTTTTAAATACCAAAAATTGTATAGTGAAAGGCAATGACTTTCAGTTTCAAGTTTAAAGTACTAAACATTTTATAATAAAGGACAAATAAGACATTTTTAGATAAGAGATAACGGCTGCTAACCTGGATGACATTTTTTACTGTGTGGACCTATGAAATTCCTGGCTTTTGTGAATTTGTTCTGGGCTGATTGTCTCTCCAGTAGAAGTGCAAGAAGTGTCCCCAGCTCCCAGTACAAATTAAGTGCACGCCAGGACGAAATTCACCTCCCGACCCACTTCTCGGCAGCCACCCACATCTTTTGCCCTTTTCTGTAAACGACAACTGCATTGCTAAGTGGAACTTCGACCATGACTTTTGCTTTCGCTTCGTCAATCACCTTTTTATCTGGAAGGACATTACCAAGCCAGCTCAACTCGGATTCGGTCTTACCAACTTGTCCTTCCTCGCATGTCCTCTTGTGTGTGTGTGTGTGTGTGTGGGTAAGTGTGTGCCAAAATTTATTACAACCTTTGGGAATTCTTTTAAGTAGTTGCTCGATTCAAAATAATTTTCCATTTATCACTGTGATAACAAAACAGAGTTCCCCTAGCCACAAACCAGCGCGAAAATGGCGAAATAACATCAGGAGCAGCGAACATTATGAGTGGATGGGGGAGGAAACGAGTGCCAGCGAAATGGGCGGGCGAAGGACATGGGGGCGTGGCAATGGCTTGGCCAAAATAAAGTGCTTCTTCGCAAATCTTGCTCCCGTTGTAGTCGTCCTGGGAGTTGAGCTGAAGTCTTGCTGCGGTCGTTAGGGAGACCGCCTTGCCGGACTGGCTCTAATGATAAATGCCGGGCAGCAGGTGATTTAAAATAATTTCGGTCAGCGTGTGAAAAGTATTTGCTGTTGGTGCTGTTGTTTTCAAATTTTTGAAATTTACGACCTGCCGCTCGTCTCGCGGCAAAGTTCTGCCGGTTGCCTTCAGGCGAAAAGGCCAAAAAGTTGGCGCAATTGCTTAACAGACATGTTTGCAACATTGGCCCAAGGGACGTTATAAACCGGAAATGTTGCTGTTCCCAAAAAAAAAATGGAACTTTCAGTCGCGACCCGACGTCCTACCCTTTCCTCTGGCTGGCGTGGATGCCACAAAAGAGTTTAGCCGAAACTTTGCTTTTGCATTTGCCGCTTTCCCTGACTGGACTTCCTTTTCTAAGGATTTTTGGCTTGTTGACTGCACAAAGCCGATGTCAGCGGCAGAAGCAGCCAGGATGGGCAGGTCCTGCCGGTGCAGGTGTATGTGGAGCTAGGCCACGGCCAGACGCCATGCATCTTTCATGGCTGCGGCTCGAAACTTTCATTTGTGTTCGAGCCAACTTTGATGAACTAGTCCGGCAATGCGGTGTGCACTGCGGAAAAGCCTGTTTATTTCGTAGCCAGAATTTGAGTCTTGAAATGGATTTAATAGTAAAATAATCGGTAAGTTAATAGGGTGTTTTACTTATCGATTAGGCAGCTGTCCAATGCAGCTCAATTGGCTAGTTCTATAACAAAAATAATAAAACATTTTCATTGGACAGAATTGAAACTTTTAAAGTAATAAAAACTTTTGTTATAATTAGTAAATATTTATTGCAGAACGCGTTCAATCAAATTAAATTGTTAACCTGTTATTTAAAACAGATAATAAACACTTAACTTATTTTACTTTTCTGTCAACTGGACTTTGAAGACAGTTAAAATAGGAGCAATAAAGTAAATGTAACCTTTTCTATTTCAGTGTACTTCACTGCCAACTTTGGAACAAAGTGCGAGAATTATGTACTCGGCCCATTGAGCAGCGCGTGTTGCGTCATTAAGCACACAGGATTCGGGATCCTGGGCAGCAGAGGGCAGCAACTGGAATGACCAGACGCAGTCGAGTGCATTTGCATAATCTACAAAGTTTCCTGGAATATTGGTCAAGTTTCCCACTTGTTTTCTATTTTTGCGAGGACTTGCCGCTGCTTGTTTATTAAGTCATCAATTAAAGAGGCAGCATAAGTTGCATTGATTTTTACTGCCTCGACTTCCTGGGAATTGTGCACGGTCCATTGTCCACTGACCTGGACCACAAATATTTGACGAGGCTTTGGAGAACAGCCCTCGAATCGCTGCTTCATCAAGTGATGAAATTGGTTCAGTGCTGCATTAAGTCGAGTGCTCGATAAATAGCTCTTGTCTCGCAGATGTAAGCGATGCCTTGTTTGCGCAGCTCCTTGTCGGCCAAAACTCTTCATTTGGGCCATATTTGGCCGTGTTTAACCAGCTTTCTATGCAGATTGGCTCGCCGGTCTGTGGGGAGACCCTTCGAACCCTTCACATAAAATCTAACGACATCGGAGCCGTTCGATACTGGCTGTCGGCAACATTTACATACTTTTCGGCAGGAATTAAAATTCAGCCAAAAACAAAAGGACAAACGAAAAGAATCTATGGAAAATGGCAAAAGTTTAGCATAAACTTTTGGCGCTTTACATGCAAAACTTGCAATTGGCAGTGGCCGAAGCGAACATGTTTTCCATCCCGGGACTGCTACTGCTGCTGCAACAAAGTTTCCGTAAGCCGATAGGGTTCTTTGTTTTAACGACTTAGTTTGCGGTCGGTCGAGGCTTTTGCCGCTTCTCCTGCGAAGCCGGCGAAGTTTCCCCGATTCTCGCTTGTCACTTCAAATCCGATCTCAGACGAGGGCACCTAAAAATGTCTCCCATAAGGACAATTGAAAGGTAAGCCCGATTGGCAAAAAATAAATATATTTCGGCCAGATAGTAGAGCTTAGGAACGGAATTTGAAAGAAATTGCGCATGTTAGGACGGTATTGGCTTTTAAAATTTATTGTGCATATCCTTAAAAAGCATGATAAGTTCAAAATCGAGTTCTGAAATAATGAAAGTGGTATTTGCAAAATAAATGGAAAATGGCTAAGAGGATTATGCATTTACCTACATTTGGACATCGGACTTATTTAGGTAAAGGGTTATTTTATCATTTTAGACAATTTCTGTCATCTTAAAGTTTCTTGCCTACAGAAATGTCATTCCAATCGAAAATGGTCCGATTTTTAGAGGCGACCGCAGACACACTGAGTTCCATTCTTGTGGCTAAAATGGAAATGGACACATTCCCTTCTGATGTAACACCCCAACACTTGGCTAATGAGCGAACATGTTCCGCCTAAACGGGTTTTGTGGTTTCAAGGAAATGCAATGTTGTAGTTAATTTGAAGCGCTGCACACACCTCCAGCCTCCAAAGACAGGTGCATATGTGTATGCAAACGGAGTCACATGTGTCGCATCTTTTTTTCATCATCAAACCTGATGCAATATAATCTCCTTAGCCGC